TGAGAAACTATACTGACCAGGCTGCCTTGGGCTAATAGTGACTGTGTCCCCTACAGACAGACAAGGTGGGAAAGGCCTTCAAGTACTTGGATGCCGTCCTGTCCCTTATCGAGTGTGGGATGGCTATGGAGTCGGAGGGCCCGCCGGCCAAGGCTGCGTACTCTGTGTACTCAGAAGCCGTGGACCTTGTTAAGTAAGTGCCAAGTCGCTGTGCTCATCATGTGCCCACTGCCCTTCACTTGCCTCTGGTGCTTAATCCACTTCAATGGTAGCGTGAGACAGCTCAGTGCAAGGGAAGCCCAGGGTATGTGCAGCTCAGTAGTAGAGCATGTTTCTGGTGTGACGAGGCCAGAGGCGCTACACTCAGTACTGAAAAATAAGTTAGGGGTCAAGAACAGTCTGTTCTAAACTAAAATTGTGTTTGAGCTGCAATGCTAGCCAGGGTAACGGGGCATGAGGGGGTCGCCTTGCCATGCACAGAGAAACATAGGCCTCTGGTTCACCCCTGTGAACTGGGCTGTCACACACTGACCCATCACAGTGGTGCTCCCTGGGGATGCAGCCACACCTGCGCTCTGGGAGCTCGGATAGCCGAAGGCTTGCACAGCCCTCTGGCCCTTGGTTTTCTGTGTTGCCCTTGCATCTCCACCCCTCAGGGTCACCACGGGAGCTGCTGCTTAGGGCCTAAGCACAGCTCTCTCCCGCCTCATTCAACCCCAGTGTTCACTCCTCTCACTGCAGGTTCACCATGTCGCTGAGATGCTCTGACGGCGCAACACAAGAGAAAATATTTGCAGTTTTATGGTGTGTACCCTTTATTTAACCTAAATTGCCCTCTCTCTGTTTTTGTTTCTTTTGATGTTTTAAAACATTTTTCAAATTTCTTTTAACCAAAAAATTATGATGAAAGCCAATGAGTGCCTTGGCAGGGGATGGGTCCCACTGTTCCTTGTGAGGCCGGAATGCTGGCTACCGGTGGCTTCTAAGTGCTTCAGGCTTGCTGTGTAAATGCTGATTCTGTGCATTTGGGACTTGGGGCCAGTGTTCATTTTTGCTCACAATCTGGGGGTGCGGGAAGCATCTGAAGCGGGGCTCCTGACATAAGCAGGGCACTTGGCTGTGTCCCCGTGCAGGCCTGTCCCACCTCACACAGCTTCTGTGTTCACAGCCTGAGGTGCCAGTCCCTCCTGAACATGGCAATGTTTCGCTGTAAGAAAGACACAGCAATAAAGTATTCCCGCACCCTGAACGAACACTTCAAG